AGCGTATACAGCTAGGCCAAACCCCAACACATACGTACCTAACACTATATCTTAGCGTAGACAGCTAGGCCAAACCCCAACACATACGTACCTAACACTCTAGCTTAGCGTAGACAGCTAGGCCAAACCCCAACACATACGTACCTAACACTATAGCTTAGCGTCTACAGCTAGGCCAAACCCCAACACATACGCACCTAACACTATAGCTTAGCGTAGACAGCTAGGCCAAACCCCAACACATACGTACCTAACACTATAGCTTAGCGTATACAGCTAGGCCAAACCCCAACACATACGTACCTAACACTATAGCTTAGCGTCTACAGCTAGGCCAAACCCCAACACATACGCACCTAACACTATAGCTTAGCGTAGACAGCTAGGCCAAACCCCAACACATACGTACCTAACACTATAGCTTAGCGTATACAGCTAGGCCAAACCCCAACACATACGCACCTAACACTCTAGCTTAGCGTAGACAGCTAGGCCAAACCCCAACACATACGTACCTAACACTACAGCTTAGCGTCTACAGCTAGGCCACACCCCAACACATACGTACCTAACACTATAGCTTAGCGTAGACAGCTAGGCCAAACCCCAACACATACGTACATAACACTATAGCTTAGCGAAGACAGCTAGGCCAAACCCCAACACATACGTACCTAACACTACAGCTTAGCGTCTACAGCTAGGCCAAACCCCAACACATACGTACCTAACACTATAGCTTAGCGTATACAGCTAGGCCAAACCCCAACACATACGTACCTAACACTATAGCTTAGCGTATACAGCTAGGCCAAACCCCAACACATACGTACCTAACACTATAGCTTAGCGTCTACAGCTAGGCCAAACCCCAACACATACGCACCTAACACTATAGCTTAGCGTAGACAGCTAGGCCAAACCCCAACACATACGTACCTAACACTATAGCTTAGCGTATACAGCTAGGCCAAACCCCAACACATACGTACCTAACACTCTAGCTTAGCGTAGACAGCTAGGCCAAACCCCAACACATACGTACCTAACACTACAGCTTAGCGTCTACAGCTAGGCCACACCCCAACACATACGTACCTAACACTATAGCTTAGCGTAGACAGCTAGGCCAAACCCCAACACATACGTACATAACACTATAGCTTAGCGAAGACAGCTAGGCCAAACCCCAACACATACGTACCTAACACTACAGCTTAGCGTCTACAGCTAGGCCAAACCCCAACACATACGTACCTAACACTATAGCTTAGCGTCTACAGCTAGGCCAAACCCCAACACATACGTACCTAACACTATAGCTTAGCGTATACAGCTAGGCCAAACCCCAACACATACGTACCTAACACTATAGCTTAGCGTATACAGCTAGGCCAAACCCCAACACATACGTACATAACACTATAGCTTAGCGTATACAGCTAGGCCAAACCCCAACACATACGTACCTAACACTACAGCTTAGCGTCTACAGCTAGGCCAAACCCCAACACATCCGTACCTAACACTATAGCTTAGCGTCTACAGCCAGGCCAAACCCCAACACATACGTACCTAACACTATAGCTTAGCGTAGACAGCTTGGCCAAACCCCAACACATAAGTACCTAGTTGATGATTGACAATGTGCATATGAACTGCACATTTTTATTCCTAAGAGTGTGTAAAACAAATAGCATGTGATGACTGACTTTGTGCTCACAAAGTGTTCACATTTCAGGATCATATAAATGAACATGTACTGGTAATCAATGTTACTAAAGACTGTTGGTACATGTACTGGTTATCAATGTTACTATAGACTGTTGGTACATGTACCTGTACCTCATTCCAAGGACCCTGTAAGATAAATCATGTGGTGATTGATCTAGTGCACCTGACTGATCACATGCATAGTATGCATTCCTAAATCATTTTTGTTAATTATTTAATCATGTGGTATTGACAAATATGAATGCGCTTTGAAACTGTTGGTTGATTGCAATCTTATGATTTTGCACATTACTTTCATGTATGTACTGTCTGTGCACTTAGAATCTATTGGCACATGCATAAGATAGATTCCCATTTCTGGTAACTTTAATAATTTATTCTGTTGGATTAGCAACGTGCCTAGAGATTGTTGGTACATGCAGAATAGGTACTTCTGACTGATGTGTATTTTATTTAAAGTTTTGATTTCGAATATGCCTGTCCTTATTAGACAAGTATGTGATCACAACAAATATGTCCATGACATATATCCCATTCTTCTTTCGACATACACTCTCCGAAAAAAACCGCACAGGTAGATTTTTAGTAAATATATTGTACCTAATAAAGTCGATATATTTAATTTAATATCATAGATACAAATATGTCGTTGTACAAAAGCATTGAAAACTGTTCATTGTCATGTCAAATAAGGCCGCAAGGCGGCGCTGACCTGAGCAGCAATCACGGCTCTGCATCTCCTCGGCACTGACTGGATAAGTGTACGTATTCTGTCCTGCGGAATTCTGCGCCATTCTGCTTGTAACGCGTTGGCCAGTTGTGGGAGTGTCTGCGGCGTGTCATGACGGTGACGCACACGTCGATCGAGTTCATCCCAGAGGTGTTCGATTGGGTTGAGATCTGGAGTTCTCGACGGCCAGGGCAAGTCGTTGATGTTGGCATTATGAAGGTAGTCTACCGTGACACGAGCTGTGTCTCATTGTACATAGTATCCACTGCACTCAGCATTTGTCTCAAAATGTGTGAACATATGTCACTGTTTTCTACAATGCAGCGAAACCGCCGCCCCAGTCAACCTATCGTCGCTCTTAAAACTTGTCTTTGATGTTGCCAAACTCAAATCATGACCGATATATGTTACACAGAGCTTCGATTGGTTTGTTTCAAAGCGAATGCAGTCCCACTTACCCCATATCAGTCGACATCAGTGACCACAATTTTTCTTTTGTGTCACTCTATCCAGTTGTAGAAACTTAACATTCTTATGTAAAAAACGCCTGGGAAAAAAAAGTTTGACTCCTGCAATTCGGTCAGCGAAGCTTGTGACGCCCTAACATTGACACTGAGTCATGATTAAAAAGAGTAAACCTTGGTTCAACATCGACGAGCAATCCGTATCAGAGAAAGACTCAAGAATATGGCAAAATTATCCTGCAAACCAAATGACGTTTTAAGGTAAAAAAAACAAAAAAACAAAGAAATGATGTTAATAGTCTTCTAAAACAAGCAAAAGAGGCATTCCATTGTAACTCAGATGAGTTTTTATTAACTAATTAATTATCCAAAGGAAATAACAACAAGTATTGGAAATTACATAGATTTATTGTGAAGGATTCCTACTCGACAATTATACCCCCTTTGGTCACTGATGTTTCAAGTATGCCAACCGCATTTTCAGATTCCAAAAAGTCTGAAGCATTAAATGTCTCTTTCAGTTCAGTCACAAATATCGATAATTTTTACCATGTGTTACCTAACTTCTTTGAGGGGCATTTAGAAGCTGGAGTACCAAGTAAGGATAAGATTTATGGATGAACAACTTCTTAATTACAATTAGGAACGACGTTTCGGTGTAGGTTATCAAGCAAGTGATGTACAGAGTATGGTTGACAAGTATATATACAGGTTAGGAGGCAGTGTTTATACAGTAGAGTAGATATCAGATTTAGTTTTATAATTTGGTTGATGATGATATTTGTACATTTGTAAATGCTGTAGAGAAGATTTATCACATACTTATTAAGAATTTGAACACGTCAAGGACTTCTGGTCACATTCTGAAATATTTATCAACTGTAATCTTAATATTGAACTTGAAAATATACTATCATGTTTGAATTTTGTACATATGACAATGTAGTTAACCATATTCTGCTATCAGCAATGAGATTCATTTATTTATCAAGTATTAATAAACAATACTTTGAAGTATTCAATAAAGGATTTAGTGATATATGTCAAATTGAAAAATATATTGCAAACAAAAAGAACAGTAAGATTTGTTAGAATAATAGTTAAGCAGATGCAAGATGCAAGCGACTTCTACTCTCTCTCTTTAGCCACGAAGCGTTCATAAAATATCTTTTCCCTGAAAATCTATTTAAAATCAACAACAACCACAGCAAAAACAAAACAAATTAACAACAGTTGAAGATATAACCTTTAAAAATTTAAAAGGTTCCTAGAACCAGAAAAGTTTCGTTATGCAATTAATGAAGTCTAGCATCAAAACCATTTGGTGACGCTCAGAGGGGAAATATTACGGTTGAGGAACAATGAAGTCTAGCATCAAAACAATTTAGTGACGCTTAGAGTGGAACTATTGCGGTTGAGGAATAAAGGAGGGGAGGAGGCAACAAACTCGATGTATGTATGAGGAACTGTCCTTTATTTGAATGTTTTAAACAATGTTTAAACTTCTACATATTGCCACCATCATACTTGTAAATAGATATTGTGTATGTGGACGTATGGCCCTCCATGCAAATATGTATTGATGTATTGATTGCTTGGTGTGACGTCGCTGTATTGATTGCTTGGTGTGACGTCGCTGTCAGTGTTTTTGTCTATTTTTGCATTGAGTCTCTGGTGTCGTGGCGGCAGCTTCGAAGGTACGTTATATCACAGGTAGTTAGCTATTTGTTAAAATAATAAAACCCAACCCCTTTTTATAAAAGGTGTCATTTTAATGTCTAGTTTTACTACTTTAATTTTTCGTGAATGTGCTTTTCGCTAAAGGACATTAAAGGATTTATTTATCAGCGTATTTGTATCCTATTAAAGGGTCTACGCTGGCATACACACAGAACATATCCACCAGTGTTCAAAATATATTCAAGAAGATATCATGAACTTTAAAAAAACTGACATACTTCGCATGAAGTAATTAGGAATATCAAATACGTGATTGAATACTGGCCTTAATATCCTGTATGTTGGACAATGCACATGCCCTAAACTGTGATCACTCGACTTTTCGCAAACGGTTACGTTAGAATGATCTCTGGTTCTCTGGTTGCCTTGATCTCTAGTTGCCTGGATCTCTGGTTGCCTGGATCTCTGGTTGCCTGGATCTCTAGTTGCCTGGATCTCTGGTTGCCTGGATCTCTAGTTGCCTGGATCTCTGGTTCCCTGGATCTCTGGTTGCCTGGATCTCTAGTTGCCTGGATCTCTGGTTGCCTGGATCTCTGGTTGTCTGAATCTCTAGTTGCCTGGATCTCTCGTTGCCTTAATCTCTAGTTGCCTGGATCTCTGGTTGCCTTGATCTCTAGTTGCCTGGATCTCTAGTTGCCTGGATCTCTAGTTGCCTGGATCTCTGGTTGCCTAAATCTCTAGTTGCCTGGATCTCTGGTTGTCTGAATCTCTAGTTGCCTGGATCTCTCGTTGCCTTAATCTCTAGTTGCCTGGATCTCTGGTTGCCTTGATCTCTAGTTGCCTGGATCTCTAGTTGCCTGGATCTCTAGTTGCCTGGATCTCTGGTTGCCTAAATCTCTAGTTGCCTGGATCTCTAGTTGCCTGGATCTCTGGTTGCCTGAATCTCTAGTTGCCTGGATCTCTAGTTGCCTGGATCTCTGGTTGCCTGGATCTCTGGTTGCCTGGATGTCTGGTTGCCTGGATCTCTAGTTGCCTGGATCTCTAGTAGCCTGGATCTCTAGTTGCCTGGATCTCTGGTTGCCTGGATCTCTAGTTGCCTGGATCTATCGTTGTCTGGATCTCTGGTTGCCTGGATCTCTGGTTGCCTGGATGTCTGGTTGCCTGGATGTCTGGTTGCCTGGATCTCTGGTTGCCTGGATCTCTAGTTGCCTGGATCTCTAGTTGCCTGGATCTCTCGTTGTCTGGATCTCTGGTTGCCTGGATCTCTGGTTGCCTGGATGTCTGGTTGCCTGGATGTCTGGTTGCCTGGATCTCTGGTTGCGTAGACACGCGTACACTTACGATAATACAAAATACCTAAGATTAAAATGAGTTATACTGGCAGACGTTGACATTGTAGTTCCAATGATTTGTTGAAAATTCAAAAAGCAAACTTTTTGCTAACAACAATTCTACCAATAACTGGAAATTGGTCAATCAGAGATTCCAATGCGATTTGTGCTTGGGTAATGCGGTAATCTCTTTACTAACAATCCCGGACCGCCGAGTTGATTTCACGTCAGGCCTGTGTTCTTTTCTACGTCATAAAATGTGAGTAAACAGTGCGTGAGTGAGTTAATATTCAACGTCACATCAGCAATAGTTCAGCCATATCGTGACCAGTGATTTAACAGTGAGTGAGTTAATAGTCAGCGTCACATCGGCAATAATTAAGCCATATCGTGACACGGTGCTGCCCATGAAGAAGGCATTCATTCATTCATTCATTCATTCATTCATTCATTCACGCCAAAGTGTCCCAGGAGCCAGTTTGCTTTTTGAGAGACAAAAGTGACACAAAACATTTCCATAACCATGGGAAATCTCAGCTAATAGCAGAGTCGATTGTAGGATTCCGACTGTATCATGAGCACGTGTTTATGAATCACAATCAAATAGTGATGATACCAGGTGTTCGCGTAGATGTGAGCGTATCCTGCCCCACCGGTGGCACCCGTCACAAACACACCCAAGGTTAAGTCAGTTGTTCAATTGAAAGAAAATATGAATATATGGTACAAGTCAAAATAGGGAATTGCATCAGGCATTTTCGCCACTGATGCGTCAAATGTGAACGCTTTGCTGAGCTGAGATTACAAGATACCAGCTGTCCTAGACTGGAACGCTGCTATAATACTTTCTCCAAGCAATGGCATGTGCAGGATTATTAACCCGATAGTTATAGCGCTCCTGTTTACTTGAGAAACACATTCGCCATGTTAGGTAATGTTGCTTTGGCGACCGTTTTGTTCCAAGGGGCAATAACTGTCCTATTGAAGCGACGGTCCAACCTGTCGCTTCTGGTCTGGTTCTCGCATCAATGCGCGCTGCGACCTCTAGTGACATGTAGAGACGGAGCCAAGCTAAAGCGTTACCCTGTTGCAATTTCATTCAAAAACGGTCGTTTACAACTGGATACTTTAAACTAGCACGTATTTTGTAGTGATTATAAGTTAAGGATATCAACATTTGTTGAGAATTCAACTAAAGGACGGTATATTGCCACGGTATTTTCAACATCAGAAAACGGCATGGCATTCCGTCAGTCCGGCCTAATATATCGCATCCATGACATAATGCAAACTCATTTTATTTTATCAGCCATTGTGTTAGTTCCAAAGCATTCAAGCAATGAAATGAATTTGACTCCTTAATTTAATTTCCTCATTTTAATTTGGATATATTTTGATCTTACGAAGATCTAAGAAATTCATGTAAGGAATTAAAAAATGTTTCGACAATGAATTGATTGGTTCTTCAAACATGTAAGTATACTAAAGTCCTTTTTTCTGTTAGTTATCTTCATTGTCAAAACATGCAGTAACAGATAATGAAAAGCATTGCATGTGTAAGCTAATACGAGCACACATGTACAAGTATACCAAGGTATCAAATAAACTAATAACAGTCATTGTGCAATGCAGATATCTGTCGGTTTAAAGAGAACGAAATAGCATTAAAAAATTGTTTATCTTAAAATTTGAAACAGTCAAGAATAAGCAAACAAAAAGCTAGGCCTAAAAAAATGAAGAATGAGCATTATCTGTATTACATTTGATGATTGTCAAGGCAAGCTTGATGTAGACACTGCAATGTTCATACAGTCTTAACTATGGAGATCGACAATTAGTATATTTCAACTAATATATAGCGACTTCTGTGTCTGAAATATTTGCTATTTTTGTAAAATGCAAAACGGCCACATTAACATATATCTTTCATTTACCATATTGAAACATAATCATGGTAGTATTTGCCACAACTGCCACCATTCATCCACCAACTCTTATCTATAACATCCACCAACTCCTCATCCTGCGTGTTAATATTGATTGTTAGTTATTCTTTACGCGGCGATTTCTGGGTTAACCTTCGCCTGTCAACTTGGGAATAAATAACATTAAGTTACTCTAGTACATCGATGTATTGGTTGTTAACACTAAGTAACGCTAGTACATCGATGTATAGTTTGTTAACACTATGTAACGCTAGTACATCGATGTATAGTTTGTTAACGCTATGTAACGCTAGTACATCGATGTATTGGTTGTTAACACTAAGTAACGCTAGTACATCGATGTATAGTTTGTTAACGCTATGTTACCCTAGTACATCGATGTATTGGTTGTTAACACTATGTAACGCTAGTACATCGATGTATAGTTTGTTAACACTAAGTAACGCTAGTACATCGATGTATTGGTTGTTAACACTAAGTAACGCTAGTACATCGATGTATAGTTTGTTAACACTATGTAACGCTAGTACATCGATGTATTGGTTGTTAACACTAAGTAACGCTAGTACATCGATGTATTGGTTGTTAACACTAAGTAACGCTAGTACATCGATGTATTGGTTGTTAACACTAAGTAACGCTAGTACATCGATGTATTGGTTGTTAACACTAAGTAACGCTAGTACATCGATGTATTGGTTGTTAACACTAAGTAACGCTAGTACATCGATGTATTGGTTGTTAACACTAAGTAACGCTAGTACATCGATGTATTGGTTGTTAACACTAAGTAACGCTAGTACATCGATGTATAGTTTGTTAACGCTATGTAACCCTAGTACATCGATGTATAGTTTGTTAACACTATGTAACGCTAGTACATCGATGTATGGTTTGTTAACACTAAGTAACGCTAGTACATCGATGTATGGTTTGTTAACACTAAGTAACGCTAGTACATCGATGTATAGCTTGTTAACACTAAGTAACGCTAGTACATCGATGTATAGTTTGTTAACACTTAGTAACGCTAGTACATCGATGTATTGGTTGTTAACACTAAGTAACGCTAATACATCGATGTATTGGTTGTTAACACTAAGTAACGCTAGTACATCGATGTATAGTTTGTTAACGCTATGTAACCCTAGAACATCGATGTATGGTTTGTTAACACTATGTAACGCTAGTACATCGATGTATGGTTTGTTAACACTAAGTAACGCTAGTACATCGATGTATGGTTTGTTAACACTAAGTAACGCTAGTACATCGATGTATAGCTTGTTAACACTAAGTAACGCTAGTACATCGATGTATAGTTTGTTAACACTAAGTAACGCTAGTACATCGATGTATGGTTTGTTAACACTAAGTAACGCTAGTACATCGATGTATAGCTTGTTAACACTAAGTAACGCTAGTACATCGATGTATAGTTTGTTAACACTAAGTAACGCTAGTACATCGATGTATAGTTTGTTAACACTAAGTAACGCTAGTACATCAATGTATAGTTTGTTAACACTATGTAACCCTAGTACATCGATGTATAGCTTGTTAACACTAAGTAACGCTAGTACATCGATGTATAGTTTGTTAACACTAAGTAACGCTAGTACATCGATGTATAGTTTGTTAACGCTACGTAACGCTAGTACATCGATGTATAGTTTGTTAACACTAAGTAACGCTAGTACATCAATGTATAGTTTGTTAACACTATGTAACCCTAGTACATCGATGTATGGTTTGTTAACACTATGTAACCCTAGTACATCGATGTATTGGTTGTTAACACTAAGTAACGCTAGTACATCGATGTATAGTTTGTTAACGCTATGTAACCCTAGTACATCGATGTATAGTTTGTTAACACTAAGTAACGCTAGTACATCGATGTATAGTTTGTTAACGCTATGTAACGCTAGTACATCGATTTATAGTTTGTTAACACTAAGTAACGCTAGTACATCGATGTATAGTTTGTTAACGCTATGTAACCCTAGTACATCGATGTATAGTTTGTTAACACTAAGTAACGCTAGTACATCGATGTATAGTTTGTTAACACTATGTAACCCTAGTACATCGATGTATAGTTTGTTAACGCTATGTAACCCTAGTACATCGATGTATAGTTTCTTAACACTAAGTAACGCTAGTACATCGATGTATGGTTTGTTAACACTATGTAACCCTAGTACATCGATGTATTGGTTGTTAACACTAAGTAACGCTAGTACATCGATGTATTGGTTGTTAACGCTATGTGACCCTAGTACATCGATGTATAGTTTGTTAACGCTATGTAACCCTAGTACATCGACGTATTGGTTGTTAACACTAAGTAACGCTAGTACATCAATGTATAGTTTGTTAACACTATGTAACCCTAGTACATCGATGTATAGCTTGTTAACACTAAGCAACGCTAGTACATCGATGTATAGTTTGTTAACGCTATGTAACGCTAGTACATCGATGTATAGTTTGTTAACACTAAGTAACGCTAGTACATCAATGTATAGTTTGTTAACACTATGTAACCCTAGTACATCGATGTATGGTTTGTTAACACTATGTAACCCTAGTACATCGATGTATTGGTTGTTAACACTAAGTAACCCTAGTACATCGATGTATAGTTTGTTAACGCTATGTAACCCTAGTACATCGATGTATAGTTTGTTAACACTAAGTAACGCTAGTACATCGATGTATAGTTTGTTAACGCTATGTAACGCTAGTACATCGATTTATAGTTTGTTAACACTAAGTAACGCTAGTACATCGATGTATAGTTTGTTAACGCTATGTAACCCTAGTACATCGATGTATAGTTTGTTAACACTAAGTAACGCTAGTACATCGATGTATAGTTTGTTAACGCTATGTAACGCTAGTACATCGATTTATAGTTTGTTAACACTAAGTAACGCTAGTACATCGATGTATAGTTTGTTAACGCTATGTAACCCTAGTACATCGATGTATAGCTTGTTAACACTAAGTAACGCTAGTACATCGATGTATAGTTTGTTAACACTATGTAACGC